ATTGTGACTTTTGCTGATTATTCTAGCTTCAGATGTTAATCTTGTTCTGTCTGCTTCTTAACACATATTTCCAAGAACATATCTGTAATCATAACATTGAATTATTGAGTAAACCAGCATTGCCCAAGAGAAAGATAATGTGAGCCACATGTAATTTAAAATATTCTAGTAACCACATTTTAAAAGGTAAAAAGAAACATGTGGAATCGATTTTAATAATACTTTTTATTTAACCCAGGATATTCAAAATATTATCACTTCAGTATGCAATCAATATAAAATGTTATTAATGAGATATTTTACTTTTATTTTGTACTAAGCCTTGGAAATCCAGTGTGTATTTTACACTGTGGCACATCTCAATTTGGACTTGACATACAGTATTTCAAGTACTCAAGAGACACATGTGGCTAGCAGTGACTCTATCAGACACAGCAGTTCTAAATAGTCATAGAAATGTTTTATGTTACACCAAAAAAATGTGAAGAAGCTATAACCTCTTCTGGGCTCATTGTTAGCTTTACGTTAGGGTTTCTGATGTTATCTGTGTGTTGTTTCTCTATAGTGTGACAAACTCTCCCTCCAATGGACTGATCACTCTAGTTTTCCCCACGGCTTATCATCTGTCCTCAGTTAACATGTCACCAGGTATTACCATCCTTGTTGCCCCCTCTCCACGCCCACCCCAGGCCCCTTTCTCTTCTCATTCTGCACCCTCACCCCACCCTGCTCCAAGACACAAGCCCTTCTATACAATCTGTGAGTTTGTGCGAGAGTTTCTTGGTACCACAGAAGAGTTTTTAAAGTCATTTTCCAGTATCTTGGCTCCTGTACCTGCACAAACAAATGAAGCTCAGAAACCACTGACGTACTTAGCTGGGAACGGTGCTGGTGCCCTCATAAGGAGGAACGGTGAGAGGGATTTGCCTGAACAAAGAAAAATATCTCCAAATCTCAGACAACCAAAAATAGTCATCTTTTTACTTTTAAGTAAGAGACTATCCTACTTCTTACATTATTCTTTCTGAAAGGTATAAAAGCACAAAGCGAGTGAAAAGCCCCCCCCCCTTTTTTTTTTTTTTTACAAATTCCTTTTTGGATCTTTTTAAAAGAAATTGGGAGCCTATCATTTGATGACTATTTCTTACATATGTGTATTTTAAACTCGAAAATGTCTCTCATGTCATACTCATCCAAGTATGTAATAAATTAAATATCTCCATGTTAATCCACATACACACCAAAAACAAAAACAAACAAACAAACAAAAAAGAACTTCTCTTTGACTTATTTGCAAGTGGGGAATGTTTTCTGTAGACTTGTAGCAAATCAATTATCCTCAATGGTGAAAATGGAATATCTCATTTCCAAACCTGGAGAAATGGCTGAAGAAGAATGTTGTTTATATATGAGTTTTAAAACTGTTCTGATATTTACTGTTCTTACAAGGCTATTCAATACAAAAATGTTGCTTTCACTTCTGTGCTGTCATGTTCAATAGTAACACCACAGAACATATCAATCATAGGCTGGAATGAGCAGCTTTATTGATTGTAACAAAAAGAAAAAAGAGAGAGAAAAAGAGAGACAAAAAAATAGCTCTCTTTGTTTAAGAGGTTCTATCTGTATAACCTTCAGAAATTGTGGAAATCAGAATGTCCTTAAAACACATTTCCAGAGCGGATCGTTTAACAGCCTTAAGAAAAAAAGACCATTATCTTGTTAATACTCTATTTTTATTATATAGAACCATACTAAGAAAGATTAAATCTGTATTTATAGAAGAGTTTTCAAAAAATGAAAACAGCAGCTATTTCAAAATCATAAGAAAAAAATACATAGTATAGCATTGAAACAACACACTTATTCTCATTGTACTAGCTTGTGTGCATGATTGAGAGAGGAGCCTGAGGCCTGGAAATGGCTCATGGACACCTGGTATCTGGAGAGATGGACAGGAGAAAGGAGATGCCAAGTACATGTGAAAGTGGGAGTTTGAGCCATGATGGCTCTTTGAGAGTCCACTTTTGGTTTTGCTGAATTTGTGACTTGACAGGACCTTGCAGCTGGTAGGTGCCATGGGCAGAGAAATCAGACCTTTTGCAAGCAGCTCCTAGATAGCACTGCTGCCACACCCTTAGGGACTGAGCTAAGTCCTTAGATGTCTACTCTGCCCTGATGTCTAGAATATGTGGAATTCCAAGACAAAGGAGTCTTTCCATAGGCTCCTGATCCTCAGGAAAACCTAGGCATGGTCTTGTCCATGCTATGATATATAGACTGCATTATCCCAAAGATGCATAAGTTTTTGCACAACATCTATGAGTTACCACTTTCACCCCCTTACAAGCCCTGAAGGGGACCCTCCACTGAAAGATACTGGGGGTAGCCAAATAGACCAGAGTGAAGTGAGAGTTGGAAACGGCTGGCATAGATTTTCATCTCTTTTCCTATTTCCACAGTTCTCCCCAGAGAGAGTCAATCCTCTGAAAAACCAGAATCTCTCCTCACTCCACACCTAGATTCAGACCCTAGATTTTCACCTTGTTTCTCAAGCAGTTGTGAAAAGCATCTACAGTCTTTTTCTTCTTTGCCAGTGTGCTTGTGGACAACCTATTATATAGACTTCTAGAACATTTTTGTGTTACCTTGGAATTCACTACATGATTGCAGAACAATATATAAATAACATGAGATCATTTACATTTCCCCCCTGCCTCAAGACACTGTGGGGAACAAAGATAGAAATCTGCCTATCAAAACTGCTGGTAAAGCTGACTACAAAAGAGGCTTGCTTGTGTTTTAACGGCAAGAATGCATGGAGTCACATGCTTTCAAACCAATTAGCAATACAGATGAGCTAGGAAGTCCTGTTCCATTTATGGGTTGGGGGAAGGGTAGAAGTAAAATAATCTGTGTTTTTAAGTGTTTCTGAGAAATGAAGACCTCCAGGGCAGAGAGAGAAGGCAGATCAGGAAATAGCTATGCAAATCACATGCCTAAGAAATTACTAAACCTTTGATCAGGAGCATTAACAATTACTCCAGCATTCACAAGTATGAAACAGGAGTGAGTAAGACTGGGCATGTTTTGGAATGGATTACAAAAGTGTTTACTTACATGGTTTGTTGAGCAGTCAATGAAGTCCATGGCTGTTTTGGACTTACACTGCCCAAGCAATCCAGGTATAACAAAGGCAGTAATATGTTACTCTTATTAGTGACTCTTGGGGCTCTCAAAGATTTTGACGAAGAGGCAAAATGACTGGACTTCATATAAACACAGCTT